TGGAGGACATCGGTGGAGGACATCGGTGGAGGACATACAGACACAGGAAACAGCAGTGTGGCAGATTAGAAAATCTGGCAGCAGTTTGACGACGGTGACTCTTCTCTTCCAGACTCAACCAGTTGTTTGCACACAAACTCGACAGCTAGAGGAAGAGCTGTTCACACTGCCGACACACGAGGGGAACCTGAGGCTCAAGTTCAAGGGTGATACCACAATGATGGGACTCATACATGGAAACTAGGAAGCAATGTAGAGGAAGGAGGTGATCATGGACTGCAGGAGGTCACAGGAGATGCTCCACATGGAGAGAGGGAAGATCTCTGATGACCTCAGCTGTGATTGTGAGACAAAGCCCCACAGAGACTTTGTGAGGAAACTGAAAGGAGCCTCACTCCCCACCAGCATCATCACGACCTCCTACAGAGTCACGTACCACATCTCAACCTGGTGTCCCAGCTGCAACGAGTTGGACAAACAGCCCTGCAGAGGACAGTGGGGGGAGCTGAGGGGGACACTAGTGTCCCTCTGTCCAGGACCTCTTCCAGAGCCGGATCAGGACCCTGAAGTGTTAGAGACTCACACCCGCTCCAGAACTCTTCTACACTTTACATTATCAGAACACTTTGAATTCACATGCTCTTTTAAAATGGACATGTGATCTGATCCGATTTGACGTCTCTGTTTCCAGCACTTCTTGTCGTCTGTTGCCATGGAAACGTGCCATGACAGTTTTATGTAATAGTACAGAGGAACAGTGGGGGCGGGGTGAGCCGGAGGTAGTTACCATGGCAACACTCTGTTATCTCATTACTGAATGTGTGTGTGTGTGTTTTCCAGACCTGCGTCGGATCACCGCGGGGTTTCTGGGAATGGCAGCAGCCGTCCTGTTGTGTGGGTGCATCGTGGCGTCGGTCGGATTCTTCTGGGAGGAAAGTCTGACTCAGCACGTGTCCGGACTGTTGTTCCTCATGGCAGGTAACACACCTGTGTGTGTGTTTGTGTGTGTGTTTATGTGTCTATCAGTAACATCATTGTGGACATTTTGTCTGGTCCTCACAAATAAATTGGCTTTTTGAGGCTTAAGACTTTGTTTTAGAGTTAAAGAATCCATTATGTCAATGAGTGTCCTCACTAGAGAGCTGTACAAACGAGTGTGTGAGTGTGTGTGTGTGTGAGTGAGAGTGTGTGTGTGTGTGTGTGTGTGTGTGTGAGAAAATTAGACACCATCTTTTATATTAGACCTGTGTCGCCCTCTGCTGTTCGCAGTCAAGACCTACAACTGTGACTGTGTGAGTGGTAAAAACTGTGAAGATCAAAATAAGAACAAACCGCTTACAACAACGTGGAGCTTCCTGTCAGAGCAGAGCAGCAGCCAATCAGAGCCCAGAGAACACTGGGGGGCGGGGGGTTTCTAGAGAATCATGTTCATATGTTATTTGACACAAACAGTTTGCAGACATGTGACGTCAGACATCACATATGTTGATGAAGTCACTGACATGTGACTCAGCTCTCAGAGGTGTGATCCTCTCTGCTCTGTTCTCAGGAATCTTCTGCACCATCTCTCTGTGCACGTACGCAGCCAGCGTGACCTATGACCTCTCCAGAAACCCTCCGTTCATCTACGGTCTGCCGGACGATGTGGATCATGGTTACGGTTGGTCGATCTGCTGCGCCTGGGCCAGTCTGGGTCTGACCGTGGCTGCAGGCTGCCTCGGCACCACTTTCCCTTTTCTGAGTCAGGCCGGAGCTCTGCGATCCAAAACCGCTCGTGAATCCTCCGTCTGAAACGCTGCTGCTCACCGTCAGAGCGTGAGGAATAAACTGCAGCAGGTGTATTTAACGGACTGTTGTAGGACGGGTGTCGTCCTCCAGGTGGAGCTGTGGGTTTTATCTGCAGCAACAGACAGAGTCTCTGCACCACAGCGCCCCCTGCTGACTGTAACACGCCACTATGGTGTATATGATGTGGACATTAATGTACCATCTGTTAATTAACACACACATGCACAGTATACTATGACTGTAGTTGAGTCAAAATATTTAAACTGCGAAGATTTGTTTGATCATTTTTTATGATTTGGACTTTTCGATCGTGACTGCCCCCCAGTGGTTTAATCTGAGTTGACAGCAGAACCAGGATCCAAGTTAATTCATCTGTGGATAATTTTCTCAGCTCTGCACACGTATGAACATGTAGTGCATGTATGAACATGTAGTACACATATGAACATGCAGCACATGTATGAACATAAAGTACATATATGAACATGCAGCACATGTATGAACAAACAATACATGTATAAAGATGTAGTGCACGTATGAACATGCAGCACATGTATGAACATGCAGATAACATACAGTACATGTTCATCCATGTATAAACATGCAGTACATGTCTGAACAAGCAGTACACACATGCACCACATGTATATTCATACATGTGGTGCAAGTGTGAACATGTATCAACATACACGTGGTCATGTCCACAGGTTAAATGATATATAAAGATGTATGTGCTGCACTTTATGATTAAACATAAACTATGAAGTTGATCATGTAGTTTCATTGACACAGTTTATAACTGACGATTAAACATTTAACATATGAACATGTTACATATTAACGCTGCATGAGTGTTTGACATATTGATATTGATTGATTGATATATTGATGCTTCGTCCATCAGGAGTGTCACAGTTAAGAGTTTGAACTTTAATAAACTTGGGTCACGTCTTTGCTCGGGTATCGGTTGTTTTATCATCAGATGTGAAACCAGCAGCTCGTTACACTTTTCTTTCCAGGTGGTCACATGACGTGACGTGTGTTACGGTCGGTGTGATGTGACTGTACGTGCTGTGAACACGCTGTAAACATGGCTTGATATATTCTGCTGATTAAAGTGTTTGAGGTCCCTGAATGCAGCAGCAGCTGAAGCAGAATCAGAGTCGCACTCGTTCTGTTTTAGTTTAAACACGTGACACAGATTTACTTTTTATTGATCAGCTGTAAACAAACAAGAATAA